ACAGCAGCACAGTCTGCTGAGTGGAAGTGGATGGCTCTCAGCAGAGCATCTCTACACTCCTAGAGCAAGGCAAAGGGAGAGAGAAAATCCCATGTGAAGAGGAAGAACACAAACTAGCTGAACACAAACTAGTTGATATGAAATGGGAGCGATGTAGTAATTGTAGGAGGAGATCAAAACTAAACTGAAAGTAGGTCCAAGACTTTATTAACTGATGAAAGATGCTGTTTCTTTTGGCCAGTAGAGAAGGGAGGATTCTTATCGCACTGTTGTTCAGCATGCTGTTCCTCAGCCATTTTATGAGCAGACCTGAACTGTACTGGTTGCATTAAGTACATGTAACAGGAATGGTCAACAAGAAGATAACAGTCAAGAGTCTCCAAACCAGTAATGAATACCTTAGAATAGAAAAAAAGCCTGTGTTCCTTGCACTAATCAGTAACACACTGTACTGGAAACAGGACTGAGTCCTTCAAAGTTCAAAATATCAAGGGCATTGCTACTCTTGCACCTTGATGACAGGAAAACGAAAAACAATCCCAGAAAGCTTTCTGTGTTCCACAAGTGATAGAACTCTTGGTGCACTTAACAGTGTCACCACCATATCAGTTTAACTGAGAGAGCAATATCCCCTGCCAGTATTCCAGTGCTGCAGCACTGTCCGTCTTCCCATCCTTCTGATGCACAGTAACACCATTAAGTTCCCACTGGGTACTGCAGAAACAGTCCTGCCTACCACTGTCAGCTGTACCAGAGGAGCAAAATCAAGCCCTATACAGATACAGCTAAAAATAATCGAGTTTAGCTCTGCAATTAGAGTCGAATGTAGAAAAGCTGCAACTTTCATAAAGACAACTCATGATTAGACATGATGTCACGCATTAAAAATTTAATCCAAACAACTTGTCTGTTTCACTACAAATAGCAAACTTGAATATTCTGGCAAACTGTAAGGACATGATTTACAAATACTAGGTACTACTTGGTTCTTACATTATAAGCAGTGCTCCAGTCTTTCTGAGAAAGAAAAATGACTTCATCCTGGGCTTAGCTCGGTCATTTCAGTAGACCAAGCTTACACATAAGCCCTAACTGTACATATTGAGCTCAATACATACAAATTTGTGTTTTGGTCACAGACCACACAACTAGTATCCACCCATAGTATTTCCCATTGCTTTGAGGCTTTTTGCATTATGATACTATTAAACTTCTAATCAGGACTGGCAATCTTTTACAACCTCACAGCTTTTTGAACTGGAATGACTGTTAGCATTAATAACTACATGATGTGCAGATTCTGAATAAGCAGTTTTGCTCTCTTTTCCTTCTATTCACATAACAAGTAATTGGGTACTTTTTCCAAACTGCTTTGCCCTACCACCTAACTGTTCCCTAGAGCTCTGCAATGAAACTTGACCTCCTGTGAGCTTGTTTTTTTATTAAAAGTTTGAAAAATTTCCAAATGAACTCCATTAACTCCGTGTCATGTGTGACAAGTCACTATGATAGAGAGCAGGCCAGAGGACTACGTATACTTACAAAGAAAACTCTTCGGATTCCAGGTGCCAGTCTTTCTGTTTTTAACTTCCAGACCAGAGGCAAAGGAGAGTTGAGAAGAAACACCAGAGGCTTCTGGTGAATATGCACTGATGAAATTGGATTCAAATGTAATGTGACCTAAAGAAAAGCACAGAAATACATGAATACTTCCTGGCATTTTAAAAAATAAATCAAAGGTAATTTATATATATATATATATATATAATGAACCCATTTCTTTCTTTTTTTGATCTTGACTCAAGATTATAGGCTAATCTACTTCCACAAAAACCAGTTAACAGAACACAGAGAATATAAAATATGAAATAGTTAACATTTGTGCTCTAGGCTTGCAAAGCACTGCTAAAGTGTTTAAGAAAACCTTGGCAAATGCTGATGAAAAATAGCTTATGCAAAAGGTCAAACCACTAAGCTGAGAGTTGGAGAACAAGGAGATAAAAAGAATTGCAAAGCAAACTCTGATTTCTGGTTTCTAGATGGTAGCCTACAAAGCTGGCTTAGAGTACAAAACCTCGTCTGCTGATGCTATTAAGGGCATAAATCTAGCCTGCAAAACAAATAAAACACAACAAACAAAAAATAGGAGGAACAAATCCAGAAACAGAAGTGAGCACTATGCTAGTCTATGGAAGGAATTCCAAAAGAAATT